GACTACATTCGTCTCTCCTGGAATCCACTTGAACAGAGGCTGAAACTCAGCGAGTTCGTTGAACCACCGCGCAATGCGTCGATTCGTCGTCTTCTGCGTGAGAATCATCTCAATGCTCTTGTGATCTGTTTCCACCAGGAATGGCTTGTCGAGAAGATACACGCGCCATGTCTTCAACGCATGCATAATATCGAGTAGTTCCTGTTCGCGAACTGGGTAGTTCAACCCTGCTGGTTTCATCTTTCTGCCCGTAAAGGCTAATGGATGTTCCAACTCTCCCTTTTTTTGAAATAAGACTCCCCCAATTGCGAAATTTGAGGCGTCCATTCGAATACCAAAGATTTGGAGAAATCAGGAAGGCTGAGAACCGGAGGTGATGACAAGCGCTTCTTCAGCTCGTCAAAACAACGTAGTTGGTTCTCATCGAGTTCGATCGCATCTCTTGAACGTTTTCCCTTGATACATTCATGCAAAGGACCTGCGAACTGCGCAAAATCCTTGCAGAATCTCGAAACGTAAACCGTTGTCCCTAGAAAGCTTTCCATTTGCTTCTTGGTCTTTGGGACTGGCCACTCGGTGATAATCTTCACCTTATCTGGGTCCATTCGAACGCCCTTGCGTCCGACAAAATCGCCTAAGCATGGAATCTCATCCACGCAAAATTGACATTTGGACATTTTGATGTAAAGTTTCTGTTCTTCACATCGTTTCAATACTCTGTCCAGCGCGGTAATGTGGTCGTTCACATCTTCGCCCTTCGTGTATACGTAGATATCATCGAAGTAAATCCGCGCTACGTCACTCAAATCCCTAAAAACCTTCTGTAACAACCTGTTAAAGGTCCCCGGACTTCCACTGAGTCCCATGGGTGTGACGAGATATTCAAAAAGACAATCTGGGGTCGAGAAAGCAGTGAATGGTATATCTGCTTCTCGTAACTTGACTTGATAATAACCCCAGAGCAAGTCCATGCACGAATACCAATAACTTCCGGCCATCGCATCAAAAGTATCTTCCTTGCGAGGCATGGAAATAGCTGGTAAAATCGTCGCCAAATTCAACAGACGATAATCGTGCACAATACGCCATCCGACTGGTTTCTTCACACAGAAAGTCGGTGCACAAAATGCTGACGTACTCGGTCGAATGATTCCAGCCTGAACCATCTCTTTGGTCCATTCCTGTATCGTTTTCCTCTGATCAGGACTTTGGCGCCATTGTTTGACCGAAATCGGTTTAGTACCGGGTTTGAGCAAAATCTCATGCTCAATTACTTCCCGTACTGGCGGTGTCTCATTCGGAAGTTCCGTACGGAAAACCGTATCCGCATACTTTAGTAGCGTCTCATACGCCGGATTGTCCTTGAGAGCATCCCATCCTTGACTCTTGAAGCGTTCAGCCTTCTCCGAATCATGCGGATTGATGACAAACACTGCCTCAATATCCTTGTCCCTACGCACCATCTGCTGGAACTGTTTGGACGAAATAATCTTCGTTCGCTCAAACTGGCCACTGTGGCCATGCTACCGATAGTAGTTGAAGATCTCACGGCTTTGTGTAACTCTAGCACGGCGTTGTCCTGCCACCCAACGGGGCTGGACGTGTCTTCGGCAGTCTCAACTTCACAGTCTGCGTGTTCTTCACTTTGATGCGAGGTGCTATCTGTCCAGTACTCCAGTTGATATTTGGGTTCTGCTCCCGCAGCCACATTATGCCTAAAACGATGTCCTTTCCTTCAGGTACAGGCATGACTTGGAATGTTCCTGTCGTCAAACGAAACCCTGGTAACTGCAAAGACATCTCTACTGTCCGACGTGGACGATGCACAACTTGATCATAACCAAGATCAACTTGCATCATGTCACCTTGGGTGACATCCAACTCAAGCTTCTCCACTAATTCCTCAGTTACGCCATT